AGCTGCGAGGTAAACAAAATAGAATGGAGCCACTACTGGTTTTCCTGAAGTGGGCCCATGGAACAGCTTGAGAACCACTGATAGAGACCATACCTGACAGTGTTTGCATAACCTGCTCTAAAACATCTCCAATGGTTGAGGTTTCACAATCTCTCTAGGTAACAGATGTTGTTCATAATATCCAATCTAACCTGCCCTTGTTGCTATTTTAGCACATCCCTTCTGGTCCTATTCTCAGGTTAAGGAAAACAATTTTTCTCCCTCCTCCTTGTAATTATCATTGTTGTATTTGAAATCTGTTGGTTTGTTTAGTCTCAGTCTTCTCTTCTCCAGACTAAACAAACCACTCTTATTACTCCTGGGTCTATTATGACTCCTTTACTCCTTTCTAAGGAGTCATCTCTTATTTTGTACGTATGTGACTGATTAATCTTTGCTTCCTAAATTGAGTACTTTACATTTGTCCTTATTGAATTTTATTCTGTCTACTTTGGACCATTTCTGCAGTTCGTACAGATTTTGAATTGTAATCCCATTCTCCAAATTACTTGCTACACCGTGACACCAAATTTTCTCCCTCATGGAAAGCCCAAATCAAAAACTGCCCGAAGGAATTCAGCAGCAGATAGCGGGAAAAGTATTCCACCACAACTGCTTGTTGCCCCATAATCCTGGAACACAGTAAAGTCTGTGAGCTGGAGCAAGTTTCTTCAAGGATTGGCCACATTCTCCTCACTTTTAGGCCCTTCTCTGCATTTCCAAATATAGAATCCCCACCTGAGACCAGCCAGAGGTATAAATGTAGAGGGACTGGCTCTCTGTAATCACAATTTTTCTCCAAATAGGACTGCAAGGGGGAACACAGGAGTTTTGTTCCAGCTTCTGACTCTATATACTCCAGGTTCTGTTATATTTCTCTGTATCAGAACAAAAGGGGGAGGGGGGAGGGGAAGGTAAATGCCTGTGAGCTAATGATATTCATCCCCCCCCCCCGCATCTCCCTTCTGTTCTGAAATTTGATTTATCCTTTTCATGTGTGTTCTTTTTTTTTTAAATTGTATCCTTTGGTATATATGGTTGAGACTATTTTCTTCCACTATTTGATCTGAGGAAGTGGGTCTGGCCCACGAAAGCTCATCATCTAACAAACCATCTTGTTAGTCTTTAAAGTGCTACATAGTCCTGTATTTTGCTTCAGCTACACCAGACTAACACAGCTACATTTCTATCACTATTGTAGCAAGTAGAGTTATTTTGAACTTCATAGTGTAATGTAATAATTAAAATGATTTACAATGGATTTTGTTATGATCTTATTTTATACATAGCCATTGGAAAGCGCTAAATTGCAACTGTTTTTAGTTATTCATATTCAGAGCACATTTTAGGTATGTTTGAAAATTAAGGAAAACACTCTGGGTGAATAGTGACTGACAGTTTAGTTAGTGACTACTCAGTCTAGGTTTTATAGTTAACCAAACATACTGGATATTTTAACTCTTCAGAAATAGAGAAGGATAAAGTGAGAACATCCTCTCTCCCCCTCCCCATCACCTCTCAACAAGGTATAGAGGGACTTTTTCACATGATTAATTTTCTACATTTTTCTCTCTCATATCATTAGGCTTGTGAAGAAATCTGCAGTTTTCTTTTACTATAATTTACCTTCCAACCTTCCCTAGTGAGTTGATATAGTAAAGAAGGTCCTACTGAGAATTTTGTTTTTGTTTTGCACCATTGGGCGACTCACTTTAAAATTATGTAATTCAGCACATGTATATACATTTATATTTCACACATAACTAAAGGGGCTGCCCCCCCGCTCACTACACTTGCCAACCCCCTGTTCTCTGGGGGTAGGCATCCCTGGCTCTCCCCCTGGCCACTAGGGAGGGCCAGGCCAAGGCATGGAAGTCCTGGCCTGCCACCTTTCTCTCCTCTCTCCCAGGTCTCCCTGTTATTTTCACATAGGTTGTGGAGCACACTGCAGGCTGCCACCACCTGAGGGGGATGTTCCAGTTGTTGAGGTCCAGGTGGTCAAGGGGGCTCCGGAACCTCCTCTTGAGGCAGCCAAAGGTACCCTCCACAGCAACACAGTACCTGCTGAGCCTGTTGTTGAAGCATTCTTTTATGGGGTCCAAGTGTCCCATGTAGGGCTTAATTAGCCAAGGAAGCAAAGGGTAGGCTTTGTCACCCATGATGCAGATGGGGATGTCTACCTCCCTGACCCTGATAATGCAGTTGGGGAAGACTGCCAACATGCATCCTCCACATCAGGATGGAGTTCCTGAATACATGAGTGTGGTGCACCTTCCCCAACCATCCAACATAAAGGAAGGGAAAAGTACCCCTTCCTATTGTTGAAGTTTGAAGCACAGTGCCATCAATGCCTTTCCTCTCCCCCCTGATCCCCCCCCTCCACAGATGAGGGAGCCCATGGTGGAAAAGCTAGTGACAATGGGGGTCAATGATGCCCAGGGTGATGACCCTCTGCAGCAGGATGGCATTGATGGCCTTCACTACCTGTAGAATCATAGAAACAAACTCAGAAGGTTGCCAGAGCCCTCAGGAGTTCCCTGAATCCAAGCCCCTCCCCACACCAGGAGCAACCCCAACTAAACCATCCCAGGAAGGGCTTTGTGAAGCTGGGACTGAAAAACCTCCAGGGAGGGTTCCATCCCCTCTCTAGGGAACCAATTCCAGTAGTTCACCACCCTCCTAGGACAATAGCAAAAGAGTTAAACCTGCATGAGCACAGGTCTGAAGGTCCATCTTCCCACATCAAACCTGATGGAGTGATAGCAGTCCAGCATGGCGAGCTTCCAAAGTGCAATGGCAATATGCTTCTAAAGGGGGATGGCATGTGTCCCATTACTGGAGGGTGGGGCAAGCCACTCAGAGTTCCAGGAAGGTGTCCTTCTGCATGTGGAAGTTCTGGAGCCACTGCTGGTCATCCCACCAGTCTGAACTGGTCTTCTGGCACCAGAAGCATCAGTACACAGTGTGCAAAGGAGGATGGAAGGGACTGCATTGCACGAAGGAGCACCCGGGTTGGGGTGAGGTGGTGCCCCATTCTGAGCTGGTCATTGTGGTCCTGCACTGCCACCAGGACAGCCTGCATAAACTGCACCAGGAATTTCAACAGGAGGTCTAAGAGCCAGTGACTGCTTTGCAGCATGTCTGTCTCCATGGTAGAAATGTTGTGGCATCTGCAAGGGCAACCAGAACATGTGGTGTGAGTTTGCTGTCCTTTAAGGAGGTAGGAAATGGAGAAGAGTCTGACACACAGCTGTAGAGGGGAGCCCCTTCAAATATGAGACATAGAAAGCCTCGGGCAGTAGCTCCAGGCGGTGACTGCTGTCCTCATGCCCTACCTGGAGTGCTTCCAGGAGGCTTTAAATGTTATTCAGGCTCCAATCAGCATGGCTGCTCAATTTTTACATAATTCTGTGCTATTTTGATGGGCATTTGTAGAGTGGATGCGCTATTTCAAAATAGCTATTTCGGGAGTTATTATTTTTAAATAACCTTGTAGTATAGACATAGCCTTAGAGTAAAAGAGAACATACACTGCCTCAAATAGCTTCAGGAGGTAGCCAAGTTAGTCTGTTATAGAAAAAAACAACAAATGATCTGGTAGCACGTTATAGACTAACAAAATATGTAGATTGTATCATGAGCTTTTGTGGGCACAGACCACTTCTTCAGATGACCAGAGTTATGAGTTTAGGATGTGCACACCCAAAATAAATAGGAGAGGGGTAGTTGGTTGGGACACTACCAACTTAACAGCTATTGAAGGTGCAAACAGCTCTTTGTGTAGACTCTTATGTCAGGAAGGACACTATCTACTGACTTTGATTCTTACCTGCTTCATTTTAACTACCTAATCTTCAGATAATGATTCCCTCTAGCTCCCTGTCACCCTCCTCCTCCTCTTCTCCTCTCCTATTTATCTTGGGTGTGCACATCCTAAACTCATAACTCCGGTTATCTGAAGAAGTGGGCTGTGCCCACGAAAGCTCATGATACCATCTACATGTTTTGTTAGTCTATAACGTGCTAACAGACCATTTGTTGTTTTTTACTTCTTCAAATAGTTAGACATTGTCATAGCTAATGACAGGATTCATACTTTCCAGACTCAGGTCATGGCACCAAGAATCTCTCTCCAATAAAAAAAGGTTAGTTGACATTTTATATCACCATAAGATTTTACTTGGCTTGCTTTGTATCTTTTTCCAGTAGCGTGCTCCCACTAATTCGTTCTTCCTCACTTCACTGAATAGCTGAAGAAGGGAATTATAGAAATCTGGTCAAGTAACTTGCCCAGCCTTACAGGTCAGGTAGCAATTGGCAGAGTACAAGTGAGATATCAAAAGTACAGGATAAGTCGAATTTATCACATGGCTCTGGCCCTACAATTAAAGTGTATTGACAATACCACGCTATAATGTCTGTGTTCTAATTAGTCCTGAAGATAGTGCATCTTATCTGTGGCTATATGAGTGGCTGCATCTTTTATTCAGGTTAATATTTCAAATCACCAATAATGATTGCAAAAATATTTATACTATGTTGGCATTGAGTCTGTATGGAGATTTGTGAAATGGCAAATATAGAGAGTTATTTTAAATTTGAATAAAACTATTTTAGCCTGTAAAATAAGGGGCTTTTATGCCTTGGCCTATAAAATCAGTAGTTTCCTTAATTTTGTACAATGTCTAGAGCAGCGTTTCCCAATTTTATTTGGCCACAGACCCCTTTTAAACTCAAAAGAATTTTGCAGAACCCCTAATACCAGTCTTATATATGGAACTGAAAAAGTAGATCACAAATAAGTAGAGATAATAATAAACAAATGCTAAACAAAGTCAGGAGGTCAACAAATGAAAATTGTTTTCAATAAAATTCATAAATGCTTAAATATTAATTTTTTTAACTCATTAAATGTTATTGTAATGGAATTTTCTCACAGAACCCTTATTTTCACTTTTCAGAACCCCGGGGTTCCGCAGAACACCATTTGGGAAACACCGGTCTGGAGGGCTTTTTATCGTTCACTCCACAGGTAACCTAAAATAGCAATATTATATGTAATAAATAAAAGAGCACCAGCCTTAATATCCAATATTGTCAGATTTTCCAGGGCTAGTAGTACATAGTGCCTTACTCCAATGAAAAGCCTTCCCAATGGTACAAAGCTCCCATTTCTAGCCCTGCAGGGCTGAGAGAGATGAGATTTTTTAAATCCAGCACCAGTATAGGACCCATATTGCTTATCATAGACTTTGCACACATGTACATTTTAGGAGAAAGTTCCCCATTTGTAGAATAGAAGGAAACATTTATCTGCTAAATTGCCTTAAAGCATAGCAGATGTTTAAATTTATGAAGTTTAGAATGTTAGATTAAGTCCCAAGGAAACAGAATTAATGGAGAGAGAGAGAGAGAGCAGGCCTGGTGGTCAAAACAATATGACAGATTGCAGAATCACATGCAGCATTTTATTTACAACATAACTCTGCAATGGCTCACATAGTCATCACACCCACCTATGCAGTTCAGAACTTTCTGATGACACTTGCAAAAGCCAGATGTTCGAACAATGGGCTAAGGTCCAGACAAACTTCTTTTAAGAAATGTAGGCATTTTTTTTTCCTGTGCTGAAGACTTGTAGGTTTCTGTGGTTCTCCCAGACATTCTCCTATTTTGAATTTTACAATTAAATCAATGGACCCAATTCTTCTTCCAATGAATCCAACAACAGAAGAAATAATCGATTCACAGGGAAACATATTTAGGTCAAGAATCTATTCATGCAATTCTAGAAAACACTAAGAGGAGATGCTAAGTTTCAGTCTGAAGTAACAGCACCAAGTAGAATACTTGGGTGTTGAGCTGGCCTCTCTCAGAGGGATGCATTCCCTCCATAAGTAATCTCATTTCATTCATGATATAGTCTCAGACGCGTAATGGTAAATTAATTTAGATCACTATATAGGGGAAAGTAATAATGCAAAATCCTCCATTGTCTAATATACACACAAGTGTCATGTATACCCCCAGTATATTTCTCCATGGAACATTAGGCCTAATCATTAGAGATCCATTAAGAGGATGACGTTTAGATAGCAGCTATATTTGAAACTGTCTCATGTTGGATATTAATGACAAAAGGCAACAAGAAGAGTTAATGGATTTTTACTGATTCTATTATCACCAAAACTTTTTGCTACATAATATGTAAGGATTTTATTTTTAGAGGCACAAATTAACCATACTGCATTAAATCTTTCCATGGAATGGAGGGGAAGGTTTTACTCAATGAAATGGTGTGACCACACTTTAATGTAGCTGAAGAACTCAAATGTCTAAATGATCTTTCCATAATAATAGAATTAATTATTGCAGCTATTAACTTGCACTTAAAACATGCAGAAAGGCTACAAAATAATGTAGTCAATTATAATTCGTATCTAAAATGTATTTGGCAGCTTTCCTTCCAAAGTATATCAGAGTTTACTAACTATTTTTTATATTACACACAACAGAATCACCATGTCAGTCACTATACTGAAATGCAGCTTTCCCCAATGTCACTTTTTCATTGCAACACAATAAAACATTTACTTTACAATTCTAGAAGATGCATTGTTAGAAATAGCTGAGAATATTGACAATTAAAATGCTGTTTAGACATTAACATTTCATGGGACAAAATTCAAAAGATTTTGAAAAAGTTTTGAAATGATCAGAATGAACAAGTTCCACCTTTTGGGTTGCAAGAACTTTGAACTCTAAGTTTATTTGTAGTTAAAATAAAGGTTGAAATTAAAGCAAGAGCTTTTGATTAATGGAATTTTTTTTAAATTGACCTTTTTGTTCCCCATTGGGGTTTTTTTGAATCTCCAATTCTCACAAGACAGGAAAATTATTTCTTACTCAGCTCTAATTTTTACTACAGGGGTAATGTAAATAAGACAAGGGACAGAGCCAAATTCATATTTACAGATACAAAGTGGGTGAAGTAGTGTTTTGTATCAGACCTAAGTCTGTGTGTCTTGAAAACCTGTGTCTCTCAACAACTGAGAAGATATTACCTCTCTCAGCTTTCACCATAATATTCTGGAATTGACACTATACTGACACTAGTAGAGCTAGAACTATACTGCAAATACCCTAAGGCTGTGTCTAGACTGGCAAGTTTTTCCGCAAAATCAGATGATCATGTAAGATTATCAGTGCTTTTCCGGAAATACTATGCTGCTCCCGTTTGGGCAAATCTTTTTCCGAAAGACTTTTGCGCAAAAGAGCCAGTGTAAACAGCACAGTAGTGTTTTCCTCAAAAAAGCCCCAATCGCGAAACTGTTGATCGGGGCTTTTTTGCGGAAAACCACGTCTAGATTGGCCACGGACGCTTTTCCGCAAAAAGTGCTTTTGCGGAAAAGCATCCTGCCAATAAAAGCATTTTCGGAAAATCATGCCATTGTAGACGTAGCCTAAGAGTGATTTTCACTTAACATGCTGGAATTTGGCAGAGACAACAAATTAGGACTATTGGATTCTCTCACTACCTCAAATCACAATAATCTCAGTTTTAGATTTTTCTGGGAGAGATTGTATCTTTAGTAATGCAGCACAGGGCCTGAAACACCAGTGCTAGCTCCACGTATTATCTACTGAATGAGCTGATGTTCTTACGTTAGTCTTTTGAATCTTTGCACTTGCTCTGAAAGATGTCTAAAAAACCTGCTTCAGGCCCAATCCTATCTAGAAAAAAGAAAACCCAAACACTTATGCATATACTTAAAATTTAAGCACATTACTTGAATTTTATTGAAGTCAATGGGTCTAATCACTGTTGAAATGCCAAATCTGATTAATGGTGTTTGCCTGAGGGGACTATTTTAAATTTTAAAAGTAGGATGTTTTATTCTTCTATTTCTTCTTGTTACACGGTGAAGTTTCCTACTCTTGTTCACTCATTTTGGAAGACATAATCAAGCCTGAATTCTGTCAAAATATGCTGTAATCACATTTTTCAAAGTGCCCAGGTTCAAAGAAAGGGAGTGTTAAATAAATTTCAATATAATTTATAAGACAAAAATAAAGAAAGTGATAGAATAAATGAAATTCAACATTTAATGTTTCATGTAGAAATGCCACATAAATTAATTTTGCAGCTATAGAGTGTTTTGATTTAGCTCACTTCTACCAGTTATCCAGAATTCCTGGAAACAGCCCCTCCTCATTAGTCTTTAAATATAATCACAGTAATAGAAGATATTTCCACTATGTGTTCATATATTTTAAAATCATTACAATTAGATTTCTCTGTTTTTATGGTATCCATAATAGGCAGGGCTATGTCAGATACATTTTCAATATAACTAAATTACATTAATTCCAAACTTTTAGAGGTTTTAAACACAGTTTTATAATATTTGTAGTAGAAATACCAGTTTTTCTGAACAGCTGAAATGTACTATTAACTCAGAATTGCAATAAGATGGTAAATGTTATCTTTTCATACTCTAAGATCCTGGAGTTTTAAAATTGGACAAAACCTTCCCAGAATCAGCGAGGAGCCGAAATGGTTCCCATTGTAATTTAAAGCAGCCTTGGGGCACCTTTAAATCATGCTGGCTGCAGCAACTTATAAGGACTACTGCACTAGCATGGTGCTGTGCCCTACCTCCTGGGCCCCTGACATACAGTCTACCCTCAGTAGATTCCCATATGTTGCCAAGGTATTGTTGCAAGCAGAGCTGGGACTGAGAACCTGGGCCAACCTATTTTTTGTATGTGTGTGTACCCTGACAGAGACAAAAGCTATATTAAAAAAGAGAGACTTTTCAGGGAAGTAAACATAAGGGATCCGAAAAAGAGTGGGGGGGAGGGAATCCTCCCAAACTAACAGAAGAAGTATGTCCCTTTTAATAAGTTTTGAGGAAAAGGGTAGTTGTAACACAGTTTACAAGGCTTTTACCTCAGGACCCTGCTTCAGAGCTCTCACAATTTGCAGTGTGAGCCTGGTCAAGCTAGTCTCCTGGAGCCCGAGAGAAAGACAGAGACAGGTGTACCTGCACCATCTGCACCTCTCTTTTGTCCAGCTTCCTGTTGCAAGATCTCATCTTCAGGGAAGGGCTCTCTCAGATTATACCTGGTTGTAAGATCCAGCCTGTCTTTTAAGAGGCTAATACTCCCCTTCACACTAAGATATTGAAGTCAGAGTTGGCTGCAGATTCGCAACACCTCATAAAGGTAGTATTTTATTTAGGTATCCCAGTGTTTCTTTAAGTGTCTAAAATTAGGTACATTGATTTGAAGGTCTAGGTCTGAGAATCTAAAATGTATTCATTAATAAAATATACAACCGCAAGACACTCCAGTTCTCCCATATATCCAACATCATTCTCCAGTAGAGATCTTGGTAATTTACTTTGTCTGTGCCCCCCTCACTTATTTTAGATTCAGAAATAGATCCTTGTAACCTTTCACTCCTTTCAACAATACTTTTGTACATTTTTATAACTTGAAAAGTTAAAAGAGTTAGTTGTATTTATATAAGCCACTGTTACAAAATTAGAACCCAGCTGATGAAAATAGAAATTCCTGCATAATAACAACATTGATCACCCTGACAACAACATAAACGTAAGTTTATCATAGTGCAGAAAAAAGCTTTTTAAAAATTGTAGCATGGAACCATGAATTAGCTGTAAACATGGAACCACTAGAAGTTTCAAATAATTATAGGTCATTTTACTAGTGATTTTGGCTTAACTTGTTATTTCGAAAGTGTTAAACTATAAAATTACTGCAAAGATGACAGGGTAGCATTGCTAAGGAGACTGCTGTATAACTTGATTTTGATAGGGAATTGAATAGTTTGTGAAAACTTATAGCTCAGTTACTTAATACAATGGTCTAACAAGCCTATTGCACACCAGTAAGCAGACTGTTAAGTGAATTTTCCAGTTTATGGAAGATATTTATGTATGATAATTATGAATAAAAG